TCGATACTTGCCTGGTTTGTCAACAGGTTAAGTACCCTCGTCATAAGACCCCAGGCTTACTACAGCCACTGGGCATTCCTGAGGAGCCATGGACAGAATTGTCCATGGACTTCATTACACAACTGCCAAAAACTAAGGGAGGTCATGATGCTATCGTCGTGTTCGTCGATAGACTGACCAAAATGGTCCGCCTCGCAGCTACGACCACCGAGCTCTCCGCAGAAGGAGCAGCTGACCTGTTGGTGTAGAATGTGATAAGGCACCACGGCCTCCCCTCTCAGATAGTGTCCGACAGAGACGTTCGGTTCACTTCCAGGTTTTACCGGTACCCGGCCGAGAGGTGGAAGATCCAGCTCAACATGAGCACTGCGTACCATCCACAGACGGATGGCCAGACCGAAGTCATGAATCGGGTTCTGGAGGATTACTTACGCAGTTATACGCGTTCTGACCATGACGCGTGGGATGAACTGTTAGCCATGGCCGAGTTTGCAATTAACAACTCGAAAAACAGTTCCACCCAAGAAACCCCGTTCTATCTGAATTACGGGAGGCACCCAAAGAGTCCCTTAGCTCTTGGTGTGCAAATTCGGAAGCCATTAAAGGGCTATGACAATCCGAATGCCCGCGGCTTGGCAGTGGCCATTGAAAGGGTACAGCAGCCTTATTTGAGGCAGTCTGGTACGCCCCTCGTGGAGGGATTACCAGCAGTGACACGATTTGATCACCGTGTCCAATCAGCGCTGAAAGAGGCCAGGGCGTGCTTAGAGAAAGCACGAGATAGGCAGTCAAAGCATGCTGACCGCCATCGGAGAGAGGTGTCGTTTAGTAAAGGAGATGACGTCCTCCTTTCGACACAGCATATTACTCTCAAACATCCTGGAACTCGAAAACTATTACCGAGGTGGATTGGGCCCTTCACCATCCTCGACCGGATAGGTTCTGTCGCATATCGACTAGAACTCCCGGAAAGCATGCATAGGATACATCCAGTATTTCATGTATCGAAGATTAAGCCTTATAAGGCAAGTGGCAGAGTACAGCCACCCCCAGTACCTATCGAGATCGAAGGTGAACTGGAGTATGAAGTTGAACGTATCCTTGATAAAAGGATTAAAAAGCGTGGGAGACGCAAAAACTATGTTGAGTACCTTGTCAAATGGCTGGGATATGGACATGAGCATAACAGCTGGGAATCAGCAAAGTCAGTTGCAAATGCACAGGAATTGGTTCAAGCATTTGAAAATGGCAGAACACCTGTGATGCGAATGCAAACTGCATGAAGTACGGGATGTACATACTGAAACATGCTCATGTGTGTTTATGCTTTTGACAGGTTCTCTTGCGCTGGGCCCAGAAAAACACTGGGTATACTGCCCCCCGTGCGAGGACACAGTTCGCCCACATGAACGCCATGTCAGTGAACATCCTCAACGGGGAGAGGTTGGACACCGCCGACCCCTACGTGCCATTTCCCCGTGTGCCTGAGCGTGCACGCGGACGTGGGCGACGGCGGGGTGCTGCACCGGGCCGATCTGGACCGGCGTGGGCTTTTGGTGGTCCTCGGCATCGTGGTCGCCGATGAAAGGCCGGGAGGTCAGACATTTCCAGCCACTTGGCTGAGGAAGAGTTTTAATGAGGGTTGTAAAGGCCGGGACGGTCATGTAAAACAACCACTCTTTCTCTTCATCCAAAATTGTTTTGTGTGTTGTGTTTTGTTAACTGGGCATGTGGCAAATCGCACAGCCAGTTCCACCAACATACATACAATGTTTCTGCTCCCGTATTCACTTATATTGGGACGAGGACGCCCCTCTCCCTGAGGGGGACGAATGTTACGCGCACCAGCCTGATGTGGGAGACGTCCTACTAATGGCCCTTGGTGTGGGGGGACGCCCTGCCCAAGGCACGTACTATTCCTCACCCAATGTAACCTTTATCCATATTAGGATACGGGAGTAGGAGGGGTGGTCCCGCCTAGGTGCCCTGTAAGGACCTAGGTGCCCGGCGAGGCGGGTCCGCGGCTCAAAGAGGGCAGGAACCCCACACCCACATCCTATACGTAACAAATCTTTTCTGTGTATTCGAATGCTACAGCACAGGTGCTTCTCTAAAATGAGTATTTCGTGCAGAATCTCAGAAGCCGCCCCATTTTGTTGTTCGAAACACTGCACATCTAGGGCTGGAGACTGCGGATAAAGCAAAACAAAATAGAATATTGAGTTATAGTAAGGCAATTCTAGGGGAAACCACGATGGGTATCAGCATGGATTTATGTTGAGTCTTCGTAGAACGTTGAGCGCTGTGTCGTCAGGAATGACAAGGATGTTGAGTGGACTTCAAGGCCCACGTATCCCCGCCTGTCAACAAGATCACCACAAATGAACTTAGACTAGGAACCACTCAAGAACGCTCTGCACCAATCGTGCGAATTTCGTGACGTCTGACATACACGGCAGCCTGTGTGCCCTAGAGGTGGCCACTCAAGGGTGCCATCCGGTCCGTTAAATCCGGTTCGTTAATTTTTATCAGCTGTCCATTAAATTTCGTTAAAGAAAAAGGGAGAAAATTTCAGAAAAAACGAAAAAAATCTAAAAAAATTGAAAAAAACCCAAAAAATCACAACAACTGCGGCTAGTTAAAAATCTAGTATGCATAGGTTGAAATAAAATACAAACATACTCTCTAATAGCGAATTCCATAAACTATAAGTATGAAAAAAAACCAAAAATCCTCAAAAAATCCAAAAATCCGCTAATTTTTGGTTAATTTTTGTCTTTTTTCGTTATTTTCCGTTAATTAACGGAAAATTAACGGAAATTAACCTCTGTCCGCTATTAACGGATCTGGGTGGCCACCTCTAGTGTGCCCTTGCACAGGGAAATAACAAAAAAAATCCTTTTTCAGCACATTGCATCATTTACTAAGCCTATCTGAGTCACGCATTTCCTCCATTTCGGTGGCCATTGGCGCGTTTGGGGGGCTGGAAATGTTTGAGAGCATGTGCATCTTCGCCCCAAACAGTTGGGCGATGCTACGGCGCTGAATGCGCCGATTCCGCGCGGCCTCGATGCCGCCGGTCCTCGGCTCTCACGGCACCCGGTGGGGAGACGCACAGCGCGTCAATCCCCCTCTCGCCCGGCCCGGAATGTGCGGGTCGGGTGGCGCTCTGTCGGGGTGCTCGCTGGCTCACTCCGCGTCAGTGGGCCCAGGGACGCGGGTCGCGTCGGGCGGATGCGGCTGTACAGCGGGCGGATGCAACAAGGTTGGCGTACCGCGGGGCACGCCTCTCGTGGGCACGACTGAAGATCAGTCAGAAAAGAAACGAATGTTACAAAAGGGCAAACAACTGCCCTTTTTATACTGCGTCAAGCGTCCAGAAACTTCTGGAGGCCACGCAACCTAAACGGGGCATGACTCAGCCCCAGGTGCTCCCCTTCGTACCGGAGCCAAGGGGGACCGCCCCCAATGTATCCAATAACATTATAAAAAGTCCCCCACAGTACTGTAAGGGGACAAAGGCTTCTAAATAAAGAGGGAAGTCTAGCACTAGGGACTTTCCCTTAGAAACCTTGGGGCCCAAGTGCCCAAACGTCCCAGATTCGCTAGTGACCTCAATAATGGTCTTTCACTTCCCTTAATGGTAGAATTAAGCGGGGAATTGATTACCCCCTCAAATTTCCTTAACAGGCGAATAGGATCACAACTTATGGAATCGCCTCACCCCTCGACAGTTGGGCCCTGCAGCTGTTGATGTAATGCACCTGAACACTCAACCGGAAAAGTGAGCCAACCCGGCCATCATTCATCAAATCCATGAAACCATACACCATATAGTTGCAAACATGGAAAATGGATTCAGAAGCATTTACATGATGCTCCGAGAGTGCTCGACTTGGGAAGCTTATGTTCGAATTTCTAGCCACACACACAATGCATACAGCCAACAGGCAGCGGTGACAAGACAAACAGTCGGGAAAGAAAAACGAATTGATGGTGCGACAACTACCATATGCTGCCAGTGACGTCCATTTCTACAGCGAAATTACAAAGCACATTCCAACGCAAACACATAAATTTTACACCTCATAATTTCTAGATTGAATTACTACACTTACAGAATTAAGTACAGCACCACCCTGTCGTAGTCAACGCTCAGCTGCAAATGCAACCAGCTGCTAATCTTCCCAGCAAACAATCCCTTTGTGGGTAAATAACCTTGCACACTATTCTGCACTCCAAACCAATTCTTGTTGATTACAGCGTATCTTGTTCCCTGTCCTCAGCCATAAATTCCTGTCTGCACGCCAATTTTCAACTTTGGTGTCCAGTTGTCATACGACTGGTGCTTCCAGTGTGGACGCAATGCAGAAACCAGCACCATGGGTGCTTCGCTACCATTGTCTTCCTTCTAGACGTCCTCAAGTGTCACTGCAAGGTTTGAGAGGGAGAAATGCTCACCAGACTAGTCTGTTGAGCATTTCAGCCTGACATTCATTTCATTAAATGAGCATTGTGAAAGTTCTAGCATAAATCACTGGACAAAAAACAAACATGCTGATTACCTCTTGAGATGAGGTAGCCGCCTGCTCCCTTGCAAATATGCTGAGCAACGAAAATAACTCATTTTGCAGCAGTTTTTGGGTGGATGCTGATCGCCAGCACATGCGGTCGCAGCGGCCTCGTAGACGTAGACAGAACATCGACACACACTTCTACAGCGTTGTGCACGATCGCAGGCACTCGCCGAGCGTGTGAGAATTCTTGCCCGCAGAAAAAATGCAAGCACGTGTATCACAGTCTCTGATCGCAACTGTGAAGGATGCGCGCAAGTTTCGCCATCCTTGCTGTCGGTCAGATTCACAACTACAGCACTGACAGCAAACAACGCGCAGGGCGCATGCATGCAGGCCAAAAAAGACAAAAAGCCAGCGGTTGCATAAGTAAGAATATAGGAGCTTTTTCGGTTTGCGGGGCCGCGCGGAAAAGTGCCTCCGCAGGGGGCGATCATCCCAAAATGGGCGGGGGCTGCCAGCAACGCCAGAAGGGCCACCAGCAACTCCCGGCCCACCGCGCACACGCCCGCCTTCACCTCGTTCGACGCCCCGCCCCTTCAAACCATGAACGGCTTTCCGGAGATGGAGGGCCCCTCCCGGCCGCCCCAGCGTCGAAAGGCGAAACGCGCCCGCGCAAGCGACGAGGGGCCGTCGCAGCTTCCCCCCCCCGGATCGGCATCCGGCGCTTCCACGTTGCGCGCCATCGCCATCGACCAGGCCACGGCGCGGGCCTGCATTGACGAAGCATCGGCGATCGAGAGGGAGGCCACCGGCCGCATACCGGAGACCAGCACCGGCGTGTCCAGCCTGCAGCTGGAGCGGGCCACGTGCGAGGTCGTGCGGTACATGCTGTTCAAGTGGTCGTCGTCGCACGGGGCGCCCATCAACAAGGCGGAGGTCGCGGAGGTGATTCAGAAGACGCTGGGAGAGGGCATACCCAGCAGGAACGTGACGCCAAACGCGATGGCCAGGTGAGTGGCTTCTGCGGCAATTCTGGGCAACTACAGGTGCAGTGGCAGTGGGGTCAGGGAAAGGTTGCAGGGAGGAAATTCGTGAATGTTGGGCTCCCGATTCCAGAGCAAGTTGTTTTCCTTGATCTCGAAGGGGATATGGTTGTCTCCCACCCCTATAGGGGAGCCACGAAACAACGGGCGCCGTTTGTGAATTTGCGACGTCAATGGATCCGCAGGGCTGGCAACCTGTTTGGGGATGTGTTAATGGTTGGTGCTACGACCTTTTGGCGCACAGGGCGCAGGCCAGGCTGGCCAAGGTGTACGGACTGCACATGAAGGAGCTGCAGAAAACGAAGGCCAGGCACTCGGGCCCCTCACAGTCGTCCGGCAGCTCAGCCCAGTCCGTGTACGTGTTGAGGACCCTGCTGCCGCGGCAGCTGCGGCCGCTGGTGCAGGACGAGCGGGAGGCTGCGCTGCGCAGCCTGGCGATCGTCGTCGTCGGCCTGCTGCGCCTGAGCGGGGCCGGCAACAAGATGGCCAAGGGGGCGCTGTGGGAGCACCTGCAGGGGCTGGGCCTGATGCCCAATGAGCAGCACGAAGTCTTCGGGGACTGGGAAAAGCTGGTGGGCAATAAGGCAATGTTGTACTAAATATTTCAAGCGGATTTCAGCAATGTTGCACGAATGGAAGCAGCAGGCCTGATGTGAAACTGCCTCTGCTCTTCCTTGCTTCCACTGACACCCTCTCTGCCAACCCTATTCGGGGCGCAGCTTTTAGAGTTGTTATTTCGCAGGGCTCCTGCCTCAAGATTTCACGCACTGTTGTTGCATGGCACAAGTGACTTTGGGGGAACTGTGCACGTTTGTGACGGACAGTCTGACTAAATGCTTTGTGCTGCTGTCACAGATTACGGAGACTCTGGTGAAAAGACGATACATCATACTTGAGCACAAGAGCAAGGGCACAGACCAAGATGAGGTGTTCATGCTGGCAGAAAATGGAGCTGACGCAATATCTGAAAATGACGTCAAGGACATCCTGGACGCCCTGCGTAACCAGTAATCTGAAAACTTGCAGGATGGATGTTGCAGCAGAGGAGGAATTCAATGCACTCAACTGCTTTACACTTCAGCAATTTGACAAGTGTTGCACATTTTCTTTTCAGTGGATGGGCACAAATTGTAGACCGCATCTGCGTTAAAGAGGGGACCCCATGTTGTGTGCATGGAATGTGCATGCTTGTGCCTTGTGGTTGCAATCTAGCAACTTGAGCTTGTCCCACAGCAGCAGTGCTTCAGAGGATCACTATCACACCCCAAAGGCACCCCTGAGGCAGCGTTGGCCTGTGTATATGGTCCATATTTTATTGCCCAGTTTCACAAAGGAGGAGCGCGCTATATGTCAACATGACCTCCATAGCCAGTGCAAGGGCAAATGCAAATCGAGGGGGAGGTGATGCCCACCATGCAGAACAAAAGATCCGCAATGCCCAACTGTTTCAGGACTGTATTTTGTTCAGCGTTCGCACGCTGGGTACTGAAATCTGAGACATGGGCGTGACCTTTATTTTGGGTGTACTGTCTGAACAACATGCCCAGCATGCTAAATAGACTTGTTTTTTGGAGGTGACATTGACACCACCATTTTGGCATAGATATTAATTGGTGGTCTTTTTCTGAGATAGTCCATACTTCAGCATTTTCGCTGGTTTCTGATTTGGCACAGCACAAGCCCCCTTTTGCGGGGTCCTCCAAAGGCGCTTCTCCACAGCTGGCAGTCAGACAGAGCTTTTGTCCTGTATTGGAGACCAGTGATCTGCCATGACAGACGTCATCCTGCCAGGGCAATGGCGCTTTTATGACATAAAAAGGAGCCGTCTGTCTGCCAGCGAACAATTACATTGTTTATTAGAGAACCTGGAAGAGCATTTTGTTAGGAGCAGACAGATTTGTGCTTCTCAGGCTGTGCTGCATCATCTATTCTTTGCGATTTCAATCAAATGTTCCAATACTGTCAGTTCTGGAATACTGTGTGCGGTCCTCCATAAATGACAAATGGGCTGGTGAGAGCAGCACCAACAAGGGAATGGTCGTGGTTCCCCTCAAATAGAGGGCCACCTGTCAGGGACCTGTCTGGAGTAGCAGCGCACCCGTGTAAATTCCACTTTCAACCCAGTGTCTGGACCTGGGTGCTCACTTTGGAGAGTCCAAAACAGGCCATCCTCAACCATCCAGACGCCTAGGTGGCAGCCGTCGCCCAAGGGTGGCTGAATGTCACTGATGAGAATATCGCTAACTGCACATTTAATTCTATCACTGTCGCATAACAAAGAAATGATTTCAACCAAGTGGCTCAGGCACACCATTTGGAAGACGAACATAAGTGCCACCATTGGTGTTTGGTGATGGACCATCTGTGGTGCTTTTATTGATGTGGTGTCTGCTTGGTGGTGGACAGATTGCCAATTGCTGCTTTCCTCCTTGCCGATCTCATGATCGATGCAAGCCAAATGGAAATTTAGAGTGAAGTGCCAGCAGATGCAGTAGCATGACTGCCTGGCGGCAGTATCCAACCCCATTAGTTGCCCCCCCATCCTCACCCCCCTTTTGCCACGTCAGTATCCATGACCCGGTGTTAGTATCCACGCAAGGCACTGGCTCTGTGGCGCCGCCGACTGGGTGTTCAAGGGCAGGCTGACTGGAATTTGTTTGCATTCCTCGCTGCCCTTCCCCTGCCTTGATCGCTGGGGAAGGAGGCTGCTCAGTTGTTGAGAAGGCGCAGGCCGCTTGGAAGCATTTGAGAGGCACTTTGTGGTGACGTTAGTGCTTTCAATGACACCATGAATTTTTCCATGTTGTGAACTTTGGTGAACTCTGAAAATTCTCTTCCGGTTCTGTTGTTTGTGTAGTGCTCTTTTCGTTGCTTGCAGGGATTTTAATCATTTATTGAACTTTATATCCCAGATTGTATCCACCCTCTCCTTCCATCAAGACTCTGGAGCTTGTCACAGTCCCCATGACCCAGGTCCCAGCCACCGCCTCGTTGTGGTGCGTTTGGGGTTCCCCATCCCCGTCCACGAATACTACCAGGGGCAATCACGATATTCTTGAAGGAAAGGCCGTTGATGCGAATCAAACGGCCCCCTTTGGAGTGCACACGGGAAGCGCGAATCCACGATCGCCGATGCTTCAACGGGTTGGCGCACGGCCAGACGCAAGGCCACGCCACACACAAAACGCCCAGGGCTTACATATTTGTTCACCCTTCCCTCAGCGAAGAGCCTTGCCGACGGCGGCAACGACCCCAGCAACCGAACAGTTCGAATCTTCTTGCACCCACAGAACTTTCCTTTTCATGTGACAAGGACCATCACCCATCATCAACCAGCCATACCGCACTTCAGAGATGCCCATTCATCACCACAATGCAACCCACTTCATAAAACATATGTCAACGGTGCCCATACACTCAGTGGTAATGAAGTTAACTATCCTGTTAATGGGTTTCTGCCAAGGGCGACGATGGGTGGGCTGCACCGGCGATTCAAACGGTGCAGTTTGAACCTGGGGTTTACTCAACCCCGGCCCTTGGGATTTCTGGCCACCCCTAGTACCGTGGGTCAGTCAAAGTACGGTATTCCGAGGTGCCGCCCGCGAGGGCGCCCTCGAGTTTGGCGGGCTTTGGCGGGGCGGCGGAGGGCGGCTATTTAGGCAGCCCCTCGGTCCCCCTCCTTATCTTGTTTCGCTTCGCGCCACTGCGTTGGCACAACCCGCAGGCACCGAGTGCCTTGTCCCTCCGGCTACGGCCGAGTCCTTTCTATGAACCGTTCTCCGGCCGAGCAGTGGCTGCACGACCAAGCGGTTCGGTTCAACGACGGTCCGCCTACGGCTTCCCTTGACGAAGTCTGGCTGTCCGACCCCCGGCTCCTACCGCAAGCGGTGACCAACCCGGTGGTCCGACCTCCGGGAGTCCGCTTCCCCGAGTGGTTCGACGTCCGCCGCACCTCCGAAGGCGGGCAGCTCGCGCAGGCCCTGGGCGCCAACTCCGGTTACTTCCAGGAGTACCAGAACTGGGCCCCCTACGTCGCGTGGCAGTTCGACCTCACTGCCGCGCTGATCGACTTCGTGGCGCACCCAGCCTTCCCGCTGCAATTCCGGGAGGCACTCCTGCCATACGTCCACGCCCAAGTGACCATCACGTCGCGCCTTCAGAGCCTGATCCGTCTTCAACAGGTCCACGGCGAGCAGAAGGGAACCTCTCTCGACGGGCTGTGGAAAGCGCTCCAGACCAACGTGCGCTTGGGCGCGGTACATCGCCGGTTCTGGGACCCCTTGATCGACGAGCCCCTCGAGCACATCCGCAAGGAGGTCCTCAATCAACAGCTCAAGTTGGCGACGAAGTCCGCGGCGGCTCAACATCAAGCGCAGCTCAATCGCCAACCTTCCGCGGCCTCGCCCCCCGGCGGTCCTTCCTCCGGCGCCAAGCATCAGCGCCCCAAGCCCAAGACGTCCGGCGCCCCATCGGCGCCTCCCAAGCCGACCGCCTAGAGGCCCCGCCCTACGCCCGCCTCCAGGGCCGTCTTGCAGCCTGGCGACGCATCGGCGCCCCCTCCCGGGTGCTTCAATGGATCCATACGGGGGCGCCGCTCCAATGGGGCCCGGGGGGCCCTCCGCCCCCTTTCGATCAAGGCGAGTACCCGCTCAGGACCCCGACGGAATGGCAAGCTTGGCGGGAGCTGCGCGACGAGTACCTTCGGACGGGGGCGATCATCCGGACGGAGCCTTCTTCCAACGCCCGGATTTCACGCGCCTTTTTGGTGGCCAAGCCGGCGGAGAACGGGCAGACCAAATACCGTTTGGTCATCGACCTTCGGCGGATCAATCGCCACCTCAAGAAGGTCGGTCTCCGTTATGAGCGCTTGAAGGATTTCGGTTTTCTTTTGAAAAAGAATGACTTTCTGGTGGGCTTTGACGTCAAGAATGCCTACCATCATGTTCGGATGCGCGCCGATCAGGAGCATTTCTTGCTCTTTCGGATGGGTGGTGAAGTTTTCGCCTGTCGGGCGCTGCCGTTTGGCCTCTCCTTGGCCCCCTTTTATTTCACTCATGTCATGCTCGTTGTGGTCCGTTTCTTAAGGACCCCTGCGGCATGTGCACGGGCTGGAACTCGTTTTCGATTTGGCTGCTTAGCGGGTAATGACTCCATTCTCCAGTACTACCTAAAGTACTCGCGGGAGGTGCCCGCGTTGATTTTGGCATATTTGGATGATTTTATTGCGGCCATGTCTGATCCGGTTCATTTGCGGGAATGGTCCCATTTAGTGCGGCGAGTTTTTCAGGCTCTTGGCATTGAGTTCAAGCATTCCAAATGTCAGTGGGATCCGGTGCAACGGAAGACCCATTTGGGTGTGATCATTGACACTACCCGGTGCCAATTTCTGGTGCCTCCGAACAAGGCCGCTGCGATTGCTTCCCGGGCTCGCGCCCTCCTTCACTCGGGCGGGGTAGTGGCGCGACATTTGGCTCAATTCTGTGGGTCTGCCATTTCGTTGTATTTGGCCTTTCCGCTGGCCCGCTTTTTCTTGATGAGTCTGTATGAGTTATTACGAGGGAAACGATCGTGGCGGGATCGCCTTCGTTTGACCCCCCAAGCCCGCCTGGACCTTTTGGCATGGACAAACATTTCGCGCCTTGCCGGCCGGGCTCTTCACCCGGGTTCGCTGCCCTTTCTGGGCACACTTGCCACGGATGCAAGTCTTACGGGTTGGGGGGCGACGTTTCAGTCTTTGGGCCAGGCGGAGCCCATGCTTGCAAGGGGATTTTTTGATCGGGAGCTTATTCATATTAATGTTCGTGAAATGCAGGCCGTACACTTGGCCCTGCTCAGTTTCTTTCCTCACCGGTATTCCGGGACGACTTCCCGGCGGGTTCGTTTGTTGGTGGACAACCAGGTGGTTCTGCACTGTCTCCTTTCCATGACTACCAGGGCCACCAGTCTCTTGAGGCCCTTACGTCAGTTGAAGGCGGTGTGTACTACGCGCCGGATTCTCCTGGAGCCGGAGTACATTCCCTCGGCAGAGAATGTACTGCCGGACCGGCTTTCCCGTATACGGACCTCGGAGGACTACCGCCTGAATCCGCGCATATTCCAGGAGGTCGCCCGCAGCTTCGGGGCCTGTTCTGTGGACCGATTCGCGTCCGCCCGGAATGCCCTCTGCGCCCAGTTCAACAGTCAGTACTGGGACGTCGGTACGGCAGGAGTGGATGCTTTCCAGCAGGACTGGAGCGGCACCAGGTCCTGGTGCAATCCCCCGTGGAGCCTCCTCGCGAGGCTCGTGTCCTTCCTCGCCTTACGGCCGGAGCTGGAGGCGGTGGTGCTGGCGCCGGACTGGCCGAGCGCGGTGTGGTTTCGCCCGCTCCGAGCGATCGCCCGGGCGGAGATGTTCATTCCCCGCCAGGCCGACCTGTTTCTCCCCGGCGACCCGAGCCTTCCGGCGTCCCTTCCCCCCCCGCGGTGGAATCTCCGGGCGTTCCATGTGTGCCCGCGCAAGAGGACGCCGCGCCATCTGAGACCGAATCGGAGGAAGCTGTGATTCCGTCGGAAGCCCCGCCGGCCGACCTGCCGGCGGACGACGTTCCTTTGGAGCCGCTGGCGGAGGATGACCGCCGGCCGTACGCGGACGACGTTCCTTTGGAGCCGTTGGCGGAGGATGACCCGCTGTACGGCACGGATTTGGATGGCCTGCTCCGCGACGATCGCTGCTGGATGGAGCGCCAATTTTTACAGTCCTACACGGAGGCCACTCGGCGGACGCTCCAGGCCAAGTTCTCGCGCTTCCAGCGGTTCTGCGAGGAGCACGGCCTCGCCGCCCTCCCCGCCCGGCGGGCCTCGATCTACCGCTACATCCGTTTCCTTCGGGAGGAGGGCAAGGTGGGCGTGCGGTCGTTGCCCCAGTACCTGGCCGCGATTTCGATGATGCATCACGTCGCGGGCCATTTGGGTTTCTCGGCCTTCGACCCGGTCACCCGCATCCTCACCCGCGCTTGGCGACGGGCGGCGCCGGCCCCGGTGCAGCATCGGAGGCCGGTCCCCATTTCCTTGATGCTGCGCATCCTGGAGGTTGGCCTCACCACCGAGGACGGGCCCACCCTTCGGGCGGCGTGCGCAGCCCACCTCGACTACATCTTTTTCAATCGGGCCCAGTCGGGCCATTACATTCTGGTCGACGACGTGCGCCTCGACGCGGCGGTGGTGATCTTCCGCGAGCGCAAGACCAAGCTGCGCCCGGGGGAGGAGCCCCGGTCGCGCTATCGCTCCTGGCCTTCTCGCGGAGCACCCGAAGTCGTCGACTTACTGCGTCGGTGGACGCAGTTCCGCGATCACGCCTGGGCGCAGACGGATCAACAGCCGCGCCATTTCTACCGCCTTCCCGGCGACGCCACCCCTACGTCCAAGACCGTCGCCTCTTGGTTCTCGTCGCTCCTCGCGCTCTTTCCGGACATCGCCCAAGAGCCGTTCACGCATCATGGCCTGCGCGGTGGGGGCGCGTCCAGTTGCTTCGCCTTGGAGGTCGCGGAGCGGCGTATTCGGGATTGGGGTGGGTGGCAGTCAGACGCCCTGTGGTCGTACATTGATATTTTTCGTTTACCCACTGAGTGGGATTTTCGGTTGTTTGGCTGGATGACCATCACCGCCCGCGACCTGCATGAGCAGTTCGGGCACATCTTCTGTCCCGGAGGGGCCTCGAGTTCCCGTAGAGTGACTGGGCAAGTTTAAAGGACGGGAACCTCGGGAATGTGAAAGTTAACGGTGTTTGTAATTATTGTCATGGGGGTACATGACGGGGTGGGCTCAGGAGACCGGTAAGGCAGAAATGAAGTTAACTATCCTGTTAAGGGGTTTCTGCCAAGGGCGACGATGGGTGGGCTGCACCGGCGATTCAAACGGTGCAGTTTGAACCTGGGGTTTACTCAACCCCGGCCCTTGGGATTTCTGGCCACCCCTAGTACCGTGGGTCAGTCAAAGTACGGTATTCCGAGGTGCTGCCCACGAGGGCGCCCTCGAGTTTGGCGGGCTTTGGCGGGGCGGCGGAGGGCGGCTATTTAGGCAGCCCCTCGGTCCCCCTCCTTATCTTGTTTCGCACCCAGCCCTCCCGCCCTGGATAGTGGAGTTCGGGTTAGTTGTGGGATGGAGAGGGAGTTGAGGGAGTGAAGTGCGGGAGAGGGAGTTGACTCATGGGGAGGCACTCACTGAAGTGGCGTTGAAGTATTAGCGAAGCGAATGGGCAAGTTTAAAGGACGGGAACCTCGGGAATGTGAAAGTTAACGGTGTTTGTAATTATTGTCATGGGGGTACATGACGGGGTGGGCTCAGGAGACCGGTAAGGCAGAAATGCACAAATATGTACATGTCGCACACCATAATGCATAAGTGATCCACCCAGTGAAACGGTGGTCATTATGCGGTGTTGCGAACAATATATTATTCGCATCAATAGGATCGTCAGCAATGGAGAACGTGTCCGAAAGGCAGTTCGCGCACGCTCGCCACGCCGGCTGGTCAGGGAAGCTGGGGGAAGTCGACAACGCATGCAACGGAGTATGGGGTATCTCCCATAACCGATTCGCCTGCCCTCTTCACCCGGAGTTACTGCTTCAATGGCTGATTGGTCGGTGCCTCCAGCCCGCGCCCTTCTGGCCCCGGCACGCCAGGGTGCCTGCGATTGGGTGAGCCCAATCTGGAGGGCAGCGCCCGTCGGACGTCGGCCTGCTGTGACGTCCGTAGTACCACTAATGGCATTCCCTCGAGGATCTTGACGCACCTTTGAGGCAGCAGGGCAGGTGGCCCCCGCAGTCCACCAGGACGTGTCTTATACCCACCTCCCCAGTTACTGCACCCAGTGGCGAGCCGGTTGCCGGCATGACAGAGAACCCCCACCGCTGGACGCCATCGAAGAGAGGGGAGAAGAGAGAGAGAGTAGGGAGGGCAGAGGGAGCCAGGGAGGCTGGGAAGGCCAACCTCCGCTGCGGTCTGGCCCGTCTGCGATGCTGAAGAAGTTGGGCACGCGCCAGGGTCCAAGGAGGCAAGCGGGGCCGGGAGGGGACAAGGTGCGGCGAGCGGGCGTCGATGCGTAATTGACCGTCGTTGGCCGTGCGGGCATCCAGGGGGGCTGGCTGCCGGTCATGCCCCGCCCGTCCTCCATTCGTCCCTCGTTTTCCGATTACGGTTCACACCCCGGGTGCTGTCGCCGCGGCGCCTGGGGATGTTTCGCTCCCGATGCGTAGGCCGCGCCCCGCCTTCGGTCACCTGTCGGGAAACGCCCGCGGTCGGGGATGATCTCGGGCCAATCGTCCTGGGCGGATGGCTGGGCCTCGCGTTGTGGGAGCCGGGAGGGTGTAGGCGGAATGCGGGCGGTCACGGCGGCCAGACTGTGCCGTGCGGCCGCCGCCAGGCGCGGCTCGGTCAACGCAAGGTCGCCACGCGCCCCGGCTGCGGCACTCGAAACGCAACCAGCGCTGCGGGCTGCCCGTGGAACCCCGGCGTCGGCCTCCCCGTCCCCGACGCTGGCTGCTGACAGGAGGGGCGGGCAGAATACTGCGAAGGGGAGATCTGTCGGAAACCGTCCGGCGGCCGTTAAGCGGACGAGCCGAACCGTTGGCGCGAACAATGCCTGGGGAGTAGTGGGCGAGCCGCTCGCCAGGTTGCCGCTCACTGTCGACTTGGGCGTGGGAGTGGAAGCTCAGGGCGGCCGCGTTGCGTGCTCCAGGGGGTCTTGACGGCATCCGCGCCCTCCGGCGGCGCGGAAGAACAAACACACCCGGCCCCGGCGGGCCCGGGGGGCGGCCGGGACGACGACGAGCCGCTGCTGCTGCTGGATGACATAGAGATCGATGATGACTTCGACCTTTTGGAGGAGTCGCCCGATGGCGGGAAGACGTTCTACAGCGGGGGGCGGGACGAGACCGGGCAGAGGGAGACAGTGAGGTGGGAGGGGGTGGGGTTGATCAAGACGCCGCGCGCTAGGCAGCGCGCGGCGCCCTCGAAAGGGGAGTCGAAGGAGCTGATGAGCCCCAGCCCCGTGGAGAGGCCCGTGCGGAGCGGGGCTGCCACGGAGGCGGGCAGGGCGTCGTGCGCGAGGCCGGCCGGGACGGTCCTGCGGCGGCAGAGGTCGATGCCGGTGTGCTACAGGGAGCTGAGGGCCATGAAAGTGATGGTGAGCGATGGCTGCTCGGCGCGGCGCCTGGGAAGTGGCGGTTGCGGTGCGGCGGGGGTTGCGCTGTGCTGTCGATAGGCCAGGCGGCTGGAAGTCGAGGAGAAGCGGCTGCTCTGCGCTTTGGAGTGTGAATCTGATCTGATTCGGGCAGCTGCCTTTCAGTGCGCTTGGCGGTGGCTGGGAAGTTTGGACAGTTTGTTGTGTCCCGCTGCGCCCAGTGTCGATTGGGATTGTGCTGCCAGTTCGGCGCGGTCTTATCCACATGCTGTTGTGTTTCAGAACCAGCCGGCGGCCACGAAGCAGGACTGTCAGAAATGGCGTTCTGATTGTGAGATTGAGTTGGATCAGCTTCGGAAGCAATGGGTTGCGTACCAGAGGACGTCCAGGCGAGGGAAGTCGAGGGTGAGGAAGGCTTGGTGCGAAGTGCAGCCTGACCTGGACTCGACCAAGCGCTGCCAAACACAACAAGGTGTGCATTTGGACAAGCGTCCAGATGCCTGTGCACTGGTAGCCATAGCTGCATTTCTGATGCACAGTTTTCAGCAGACATGTGCTACGCCAATGTGCTTGAAGTTGCTGTTCAGCTTGCTAAGTGGTGCCACGGTGTCTGCTGCTGGGAGGCTGTGCATCGGCGTGTGCTTGCTGACACTTGTGGCATGTTCCTGCAGGCGAATCTACTCAGCTCTTCGCAAAAGCAGCACTTCGGGAGCGGCAAGTGCAGTCTCCAGCGGATGTGATGCCTTCTCCAGGAAAGCGACAGAGGGTGTTGGAGCGGCCTGTGTCACGGGAGCTGTTTCGTGCGACGCCCTCACCACGGATCAGCCTGCTAGACACTGAGCACAGTGGGCGCAGCAGCAGACGCAGCATGGACTGTGTTGCACTCAGCCCAGCGCCTGATTGTCTTTTGGAGGAGGCACTCGCCGTCGCCTCAAAATTCTCTGACGCTCACCAGCCCCAGGAAGTGGGCGTCAGCAAGCTACAGCCTCCTATGGAGCGGGTTGCAGCTGTTGGGAGGTTGATGAAGAAAGCAGGGGGAAAGTGGCCTAGCGGGGATGTCCAGAAGGGAAGAACGTCCAGTTGCTCACATGGTTCTGGCAGGAGCAGCCAGCTGCCTAAAGACCCCCGATCGAGCCCGCTCAGGACGCCTCGTGGTCCAGTGGGGCCGAACAGGAACCGGCAAGTTCCAGCAAAGCCTCCCAGGACTCCACGCACCGCCACGCCCCGAGGTTCAAGGCCCGCCAGCAATACAAAGGCCTCACTGGGACCTCCAACCCGAGCACCAGGCAAGAGCAGAACCACTGACGTGGTTGGCAAGCCAAAGGCAGCCGAGCCGCTAGGGCCAGCCCAGAGGACCACACCCAAGCGCAGGTCTTTGTCTGCAAACAGGACGCCTCCCAGAGAGGCCGGTGGCGGTCTGGGCGGTCTGGGCACGCCACGCTCAGAGCCCTCCACCCCTCGTGGGACACCCAGGTCGTGCCGGAGGTCGCAACAGTCTCTCCCTGCGAGCAGGCTGCGGAAAGGGGGGCCTTTGGGCAAGGCGGTGCCAAGCCCGCGTCCGGGGCTGGGGCCCCCTGCTCGATTGGGCGCCGCGCAGAAGCCAGCAGCCACCCCGAGGAATGCCTACACACCCAGAGAGTCTGGCAGCTGTCTGCCATCCAAATTGGCATCTCGCCCATCTCTAGGCCCACCTCAGCGGCTTGTGAAGGGCGCTGCGGCCAGTATTGGAACCAAGGCGGCAAGGGTCAAAAGTGCTGGTGGCCTGCCTCGTGCGCCTGTCGGCGCCAGACGACTAACACAATAAGTACAGTGTATCCATTGGGCGAGTCGATTTTTGTGCTTTTCCGTATCTATCTTTTTGGCAGTGAATTCTCTTCTTGGGCGTCGACGTGTTCTTGGGGCAAGCTGGGGTGCCATAGGTAAATAACGAGGTTTGATTTATGGGCTTGCTGTGGGGAAAGCCAGTGTCCCCCAAGAAGCATGGGCGCTCTTGTACGTGTTTTTGTATGCTATTACCATTGACTTCGCTGCCACATCGTTTTTGTTGGTGTTGTGGCCAATGGCCACCAAGGGCGGAGAAATTTCATGGTGTGGGGGACGGAATATCGAACAAATGGCTCGTGCAGGGCTTACGGTGTGTTGATATTGGCACTAGACATGAGGTTATTGAGATGTAAATGCAACCTGTTGGCATTCGGTTGAGCTGTTATTGTGTAATCAGCTGTGCAGATGACAGGCAGTGCGGTTACTTGGGCTCAGGCACATCCAGGCGTCACGACGGGTTGGCGCCTGACAGTGCGTTGGCGGCCACACGAAATTGCACTCCGAGGATCCTGTGGATTAGCCCACTGGGATAAGCAATAGCACAACTGTCATTAATTGTGAACATTTCCACAGATAAGAGAAGCTTGTATTCTGGTATCTTCAACAGGCTATGGACTGTGGCATGGACCACGACCAGCGCAGGGGCTGCAACACCCGTTCGAGTCGTTGTATAGGCTGGTGTCGCTCATTTGCCTAGGACACCTCCTCCTGGGTTCCCTTCAAAATCCTCACATTGCGTTGAGACTGGGGGGAGCAAGTCGTTTACCACGGAGAAAAACAAAGCCGTGCTGAACGTGGCACACTTGACCCATTGGAGATGGGCAACAGCACTCCTTGGATTGGCTAGCAAAGGAGCATCGCCCATTTTGTTCAAAAGTGCAATCTTTCAACCAGATACTATGCTTGCTATGGAAGGCATTCTGCAGCACAGACACCTCCACAAGGCCGACCAACGGCACACTGAGACTCAGCAAGGTTCGGCAGCAAACGGGCCACTGGGCAGCGCTTCTAAACTAAAGCGGTGTGGCGTGGGGTCCAGAATCGCGCCAGCGGTTACCTGCCGAGGCTGGACAAGCCTGAAATCCTGATGCACACACCATGTTGAGCACTGCGACAAGTGCATTTGCAACATGGCAGATGTTGCAGAGTTCCTGTGCCTTGACCCGTTCTGGCCCATAAACAGAAACTTCAAGACCGTGCCAGAAGCACCTTCAAGCACATCCAGGCTGCATACGCCCTTCAATCATGAGGCCGTGTTTGTCTCGTCACCAACAGGTGCTGGAAAACCTTGGCGGAACACAGAAGAAGGCAGCACAGCTGGTCAACGCAACATCCATGCCTGCAGAGATTACATTTGTATATTCATGAAGGTGCTGGCAGGAGTACACCCAATTCACTCTTATTGAAGTCCATCTTCTGGATCAATTTGAACGTACACCGATTAATCCGTTTTAGCTATCACGGCAGCTTCACAGACCCCACTGCTTGTTGGCATAGCCACAAGACCCCTCCAACGCGCTGAAGCCAGGGCAAAATAAGATACAAGTGCTCTTCTATCCCCTACACGTTGGCTCGCAATGCCATCAAGGCCACCACTTCAAAGCTACCCACGTCCACTTCTTTTTAAGGTAACAGCCACCTATTTGCGAACGCCTCGGCTGGTCTGGCCTGAATCACAGCACCCGCGAAAGGTTGCCATCCTCTGCTCAATTCAGCGCTTGAAACCAAAAGCAGTCAACAAGTGAACCCAGAGGTCCTGAGCCCTGTGCTTCAATTCTCCATTAACTTAGGCAGAGCACCCATCGACGGCCCGCCCCATCCGTCGAGGTGCAACGGAGGCTACCCTCATTCAGGACCGTTGGACCCCCGATTTCACAGACTGGTACCCTAACCGCTGCATGCTTGCGACGCAGGTGAGATCTGCGTGATATCTACGCGCCTTTCATGTCGCCACCCGAGGCTGCGCCGCCTCTGACTATTTGATACAGGTACTTGCCAGTGAACATGTCCAGCAAAAGCCACGCCCCTTGCCGCCACGAAGGCAGCTCGACCTGCGGGAAGCATCAATCAGACTCAGCGAACATGATCTCAACCAATGGCCCCCCGAGGGACGGAAACGCTGCCGCACAGCGCGGGCCGGGCCCCCAATGCCGGTCAACGAGGTTGACTGCAATCCAAAGAGCATCAGACCTTGTGGTCCCCCTCGCCCCACGCACCCGACAGCGCGCCTCAGGCAGAAATCAAGCCATTGGCGGCATGGTGCTGATCCCTCACCTTGGATCGCCGTTTCGGCAGGCTCGCGCCGTGTCGTCCCGGTTTGCCGTTGTCCTCCCGCCGCTGCTCCTCGCCGCCCTCCTCGAAGGTGAACCACGCCAGCACCAGGGCGACCACCAGCGACACGCCAACCAGCACGAAGCGCATCGGGCAGGCCATCCCGGCAGGCGCCGACCGCGGCAGCGGACACCGAGCGCACGGTCCGTCGTCGGCCAAGAAGAGGGGTCTTCAGGGAGGGGCTGCAGGGGTGACTGAAATTGGCAGGCGGACGCTGGCTGCGGACCACAGGGGGTTGGAACAGCGTCTCCTGACGCCGAAGGACGGCCGCCTCTTTGGACAGCTCGCTCCGACTCGTCCGGGGGCAAACGCTCGCGGTGACTTTCCAGGCGCGGCTCCCCAGGGAACTTGGAAATAATTCGAGGGGACCGAAGGGCGCTCGTGGGTTTGTGGACGTGGAGCGCGTTGTCAGGCGTTCCATGACGTAATTGTGCTTGTCGTGGTGACGCGGATGCAACAGGGCCTTTTGCATATGGGGACATACGTCCCTCACAAGAGGAACTGTGAAGGCTTTTCCACGGTCTGCAAGAAACGCCCCATCGCGCAGAAAATGGCAGCGCTAAAGTTCGCTACGAACAAGACACTCATGCAGTGATAGACGAGATGGAATCGGTCAATTGTTGTCCCATTCCCATGCTTTCGATTCCTAGCATCTTGCCCAGAAAATCCAACATCACCACGCATCCACCGAGATAATATACGCCTCGATCGACGAAACGAGCTGCCTTCGCCATCGCTGCCACACATGCCAGCGCAATCTGGGTGCCAACACTTAGCGATGCATGAATTCTGTTGTCCGTCTTGGTGACACCTAGAAATTCCAACATCCTTCCACACAGAATTCTTTTGCGGCCAGCGCCCGACACCCTCCCACGACTTCGCACCTCAGATAGGGTGTTCACAAGGCTCCACACAGCAATTGTGTGTCTGCAGCCGTTCCACACAGTCTCAGATCTCCAGAACACGTTTTCAGTCCGACGGAGGGCCTCACACACTGAAAATAAACTGGCTCTCGGGTCCGCACACACCGAGAGGGGATCTTAAGAGGGTTTAAGGTGCCTTCGAGGGTCTCCAAGTCGGGCTACGCTGGTGTGAGGCGGCCCAGTCACACACGCACACTCAGGGGCCTTTGGAGATCTGGCAAATCTCCAGACTGGATGTGTGGGTGGGTCAAATTTCTTTCGTTGGGTGGGAGGGCCGCCTGGGAAGCAAGTTGATATGCTTCCACTTTGCTCCAAGGATTTGCACAAACCTAGTGGCAGAGAAAGTTGAAGGTATAGGAGGATCCCAAGGATTGCCAGGCATTTGTAGAGCAACTGATCAGCCAGCTCCAAAACATCAACAAGGTTGATTTTGTCAATGATACGACAAGATTGTTGGTGTGGAGCACCTGCCCTCTTTGAGCCGCAGACCCACCTCGCCGGGCACTTACGTCCTTACATGAACCTAGGCGTGACCACCCCGACCTACTCCATGTCGTATAATAATATAAATAGAGGTTAGCGGTGCAGGCCGTTATTTAACGATAACCATGGCACGGCCCCAATGGCGTAAGTTGCCGATAGCGTTAACGGCAATAGTTACCTCTACAAACGGCGCACTTAGTAATGGACTTACTAAGTAAGTGAATTTGCCATTGGAACGGCAAAATCCTGCCACCCAATGGCATTGGACGGTAAGCGCTGAGTGCCACCGGCATCCGGCGGCGCAGCCCAACGGAGAGCCGGCATCTTGCAGCATAGAGGCCGCTAGCCACCAATGGCGCTTCGCGGCACAATGTACTGATGTACCGGCATCTTACGGCATAAGTGTCTGAGTGCATAGCGGCAGCCATCGAATCTTCCAACATCGGCATTCAACGGCATTGCATGCATTGAGCTTTCCCCAGATTCACATGAAATTCTAGTACTTGAACTCAAATCATGGCAAGCCTCTCCCGGTGTATCCACACTAGAGGTGGCCACCCGGATCCGTTAATAGCGGACAGAGGTTAATTTCCGTTAATTTTCCGTTAATTAACGGAAAATAACGAAAAAAGACAAAAATTAACCAAAAATTAACGGATTTTTGGATTTTTTGGGGATTTTTGGGTTTTAGTCATACTTATAGTTTATGGAATTCGCTATTAGAGAGTATGTTTGTATTTTATTTCAACCTATGCATACTAGATTTTCAACTAGCCGCAGTTGTTGTGATTTTTTGGGTTTTTTTTCGATTTTTTTGGATTTTTTTCGTTTTTTCTGAATTTTTCTCCCTTTTTCTTTAACGAAATTTAACGGACAGCTGATAAAAATTAACGAACCGGATTTAACGGACCGGATGGCACCTTTGAGCGGCCACCTCTAATCCACACATCCATCCACGTCACAAAAACCTACTCCGGCAATCCTCTGCCACCACACAATGTGCCCTGCCATTATAAATATTATGCTCCCATGGCGGACTAGTCGTGTTTTACTACATTGTATTGGACACGTCATGTCTGCTATGAGAGTGCCCCAAAAAGTTGGGCTGCTATCCTTCTGTGCCCTATTGCAAGCGACCCTCGTACAAACCCATGCTCGTGCTACCCCGGACACAGCACACCATATCGAAGGCAAATGCTACGGCCACTGTGACGGTGTGCAGACAAGTCAGAGCTGCCACTGAGGCAACCCGCGCAAGTAAGAGATTCTGCTGCACTTTGTGAGTGTTGCGGATTAGGGCAAGGTTTGGGGGCGTGTTGTGGATGTTCAACATCCAATGTTGTGGGGCTTGGGTGACACACTAACAACGTTGTGGTGTCTGTGTTCAGAGAACCCGGAGGCGCAGGAGGGGCAGAGGCCACACCAGAGGTGCAGGAGGCGAGGACAACAAAAAAATAGGTGAGGGCAGTGTGGGGGCGGGAAGCACTGGTCCATGCTTGCTTTTGTTCTTGTTGTTATTGTGTTCACCACCTTTGAATGCTGATAGCATTTTCCAAGCATGTCGGCTTGTTCCCCTGTCCCAACCGCTGAATGCGCGATGGCTACCATTTTTAGTGGCTATGCGGTCAGCTGCTAGGCAACGCAGGGTGGGAAACAGGCTAGTGTGTGGAATGGTCTGTGCTTGCAAAAGTTGGCTTGGGTACTGCCAACGACTCTTGGGTTGCAAGCAGTCATCTTGGTGTGGTGGGTAACTGAATCGCTGCATTGCTAGCTAGCTACCGAGCTAGCAATACTCAACAAGGGGTGCCCTAGTTTGCCATGTTCTGTGCTAGAATGGTTGGAATGGCAAGCATCGATCTAGCGATCCTATGAGCCACCAAGTACCATACACCTAGGCACCCAACGAGCCAACCATTGATCGAGGCAACGATTGATCGAGCAATTGATCGAGGCAACGATTCAGCGAGCCAGCGATTCAAACTTGTTTTACCTATGGCTCATAGGATTGCTAGATCAATGCTTGCCATAGGATCGTTAATCAGTGTTGGCCACCCTAACCATGCCAATATGAAAATGGCATAAACACTGGATCATTGGGTTGCTCAATCGTTGCCTATCTCAATTACTAGATCGATCAATCGCTGGCTCGATCAATCGTTGGCTTGCTGGGTGGCTGGGTCTATGGTGCTTGCTGGCTCATAGGATCGTTATATCGATGCTTGCCATAAGATCGCTGATCAATGCTTGCCATTCCAGCCAGTCCACTGCCAAAATTGGCAAACTGGGGCACCGCTTGCACACCTTGTTACTGTCCCAACCCCTTGGTGTGCGACTGCTACCATGTTTGGTGGCAGTGTGGCTGGTGGTGAGGCAGTGCGGGGGCAAAAATATGCCCCAATTGCTGGCTCGCTAGCTAGCTGGGTCTGTGTTACTTGGTGGCTCATAGGATGGCTAGTCCAATGCTTGCCTTATGATCGTTAATCACTCCAGGCCATTACAGCCGTTCGAAGTTCGAACATGAAAATGGCACACACGCTGAATCGCTGGCTCGCTCAATCGCTAGCTCGATCAATTGCTGGCTCACTCAATCACTGGCTCCAACAATCGCTGCTCCATCAGTAGCTGGCTCGCTCAATCGCTAGCTCGCTCAATCGCTAGCTCGTTCAACCACTGCCTCGCTCAATCGTTGGCTCGCTCAACTGCTGGCTCGATCAATTGCTGCCTCACTCAATTGCTCGCCCGCTCAATTGCTCGCCCGCTCAATCGCTTGGTCGCTCAATTGCTCGCCCGCTCAATCGCTCGGTCGCTCAATTGCTGGCTCGATCAATCACTAGTTCGCTGGGTTGGTAGGCTGGCAGCATTGTGCACCAATATGTGTAGTATAATTATAACTATATGTAGCATAGAGATTACCATTTGTGGCTTATTTCCCAGCAGTGCGAAGCAGGACATTCTCAACACATGCACATGTGCAAAGAGTATACACACAAGGTATGTGCAAAGAGTATACACAGAAAGATACATATGGCACCAAATCAACATCAGTAGCATGTTGTCCAATACTAAGCAATCTGACAGGAGGAACGTGGGTTTGGATGTCTACCATAGGAGGTAATATTTAGGTTAAGAGAAGGAGGGCGAGGGGATAGTCCATCGGGGGAGGGGGAGTCAGACTCTCAATCAAGTGGGGACTTTGTGGGAGGGAGGGGGGGGGGGTACGGAGCAACGGGGGTATGGGGGTTGGGGGTTCAGCAGGGATAGGACAGAGAGGGGGGTCATCAAGGGTAGGAGAAGGGGCCTTGTCAAGCTCTATACCCACCCAAGCTCAACCGCGTTTGCTCACACGCACAGACATAGTCCATTGGCTCACAAGCAACCCATATGCATTTAGAGAAGCTGGGTCAGATGGTTTTTGAGAATCAATAGAATATATGTGCCAAGAGAGAAGGCGCCATATTGTAGTTAGGCGCGTTGCCAAGGATCGCTCCCGCCAAGAATATTTGGATAACCCGGATTGGATCATGTATGACCAGAGTAGGTGAGATTTAGATGGGATTTCATTATCTTCTTGGGAGGGGGAGCAGGCCTGCAAAGATGCCTTGCAGTTTTACAAGGCACACCGCGGGGAGCATGGTGTTGGCTTAAAATTAGTGGCAAAACGATTTGCCATTTCTTGGATGAGGTTGAGAAAGAGGT